TTTGGTGATTTATCAATCTCACATTGCACATTGTGAGATCAGATTAAGAACTGTGTCATTTGAGTCCGAATTGTAGCATTGAAGCCCAAGGGCGCGCCTACAGTGTCTTACACAAACATAAAAGATACACATATTAAAACACACGCTCGGGTCGTATTTAACTTATTTCGTTTAATTCATAGTGTGTTTCTAGTTCTTATCCTTCATATTTGTCTTAATCTTGGCCCATGAATGCCTAGGACGCAATGTGGATGCCAAAATGCATTTGAAAACACTTTGTCAAAAATGCTAGAAACAGGGGTCTCGCTCGAGCGCAACTTCCTTTGCTCGAGCAAACATGTAAAATGCGAGTAGTCACTCAAGAGCAACTTCTGTCGCTCGAGTGGTCTGCAAAAGTAATGGTTGTGTGAATTCTCCGCTCGATGGCCGCTCGACGGTCGCTCGAGTGTGAAACTGAGGTCCTCGCTCAAGCGCAACTCTTGTCGTTTGAGCGGTCTACAAAAACATGAAACTTCTGGGAGCTTGTATTTCACGCTCGAGCGGACTTCTGGTCGCTTGAGCAAGAGTGCAAGATCATAAAGTGGTCGCTCGAGTGCAGGTTCTATTACTCGAGTGGAGAGGTCGAATTCTGGAATTTCCAGATTCACCTCCAAGCTGCAAAACTCAAATTCAATGCCTTCAAACTCAACCTTTGGGCTCCAAAACTTGAGAAAACATGTCTAAACTTGGAAAACATTGAGAATTAACGATCATTTCGCAAAATCAAGGCCCAATAGCATGTCAATTGTCTAAAATTTAACTTGAAACTCATGATATAAACATGCATATAATTTCTTCACACTTAAACCTTTCAAATCATGCTCAAATAAGGTAATTTAATGGAAAACATGTTGAAGTCTCATGATTGAGTTAAAAACATGACATGCGTTGGAGAATCACTTGAAAACAACTTGTAAAATACTATGAAATGCACGTGCATGCTCTAAACTTCCTCTTCCCACTTCACTATTCCATTCCATGCATGAATCTACTTAACTTTCTTGAGTTCATGAGGTAGAGACTTGAATTCCTATCGTAAAGCCTTGAATTTCCAAGTGTTGAAGCCTAATCTTCCAAACTCTCTTATATTCTTCTATAATTCTCTCATTTTCTTTCTTGATCACACTTCCTCTATTAATCTCCATCTCCCCCACGTTGAAGCTCAAAAAAACGTAATGAGTGTACCCAAAAATGAACTAGTGGGGTCAAGTAGGCCTTATATAGGCTTGTTGAGTGGTAATTAATTAAACTAAGCAAATGAGCATTGATCAATCTAATTTAATTCACTCCGAATCGAATTTCAGTTAAACATACCATAAGGTCCTAAAAATTTCAAATAACACATAAATCAAGTTAATTTCGTGATCGGATGCCGATAAGGCCTTCAATTCGCAAAACAAAACGTAAACATGAACATATCTTTCTACGATAGACAGATAGAGACACAAATAATACAACACACATGCAATTAATTTAGGATTTCATCTTAATTACTTATTGAGTATTCTTAATCATGGTTTAACAGTTAATCATAGATCGAGGTTGTTACACTGACCATTGCCAGTGAGATTAAAGATGAAGAGTGAGCTCTGAGAGTGAGAGATGAGGGAGATAACTCAATTTTGAATTTTGAATGTATGTGAGAGAGAGATAGTTGAAGAGAAAAGGATGGAAGGGAAGAAGAAACATAAGGAGAAAATGTATATCTACCGTAGGATGTATGTGAACAAACAATCTCAACCATTGAAAGATAATTTGTTTCTTGAACATTTTTTAGCTGTTAGATTGAATTAATCTAACGGTTCAAATTTTGACAAAGGGTCAAAAGTCCTATCAGAATTCAAGAACTACCCTTTCTTGTTATATTGATATATATGAAATGCATCCAACATATGCATCCAAACCATCTCTCTTTCCCCGTGTATATATATATACATGAAATGCATCCAATCCATGAAATGCATCCAAACCATCTTGTCCATGTATATATATGAAATGCATCCAACCTACAACCCACAAACCCATATCTCTCTCTCTTTATGTACCTAACTCATGAATTGCATCCAAACCTATCTCTTCCATGTATATATATGAAATGCATCCAATCCACAACCCATAAACCCATATGTTGGATGCATTCAAACCCATCTCCTCTCTCTATATATATATATGAAATGCATCCAATCCGCAACCCACAAACCCATATCTCTCTCTCCGTGTATATATATTAAATGCATCGAATCTATGCATCCAACCCATGAAATGCATCCAAACCCATCTCCTCTTTGTATATATATGAAATGCATCTCTAAAACAACATTTCATGGGCATATATATATATAAGAGTGGAAGGATAAATTGGTCATTCAAAACTTCAAACTTGGTGCCAAAACCTTTAATTTCAGTGCAAACACGCTTCTCTGGTGCGTCTGCCCCACATACTGTTAAGTCTACTAGATTTCGTCACTTTTGCACTTCAGTTAAAATCACAGGGAGTTTATGAGTACATTTATCAACGTTAGGAAGGTAATGTGAAAAAGCGTGAAACCACAGGGGTAAAATATAATTATTATTTTTTTTATAAGATAAATTATAATTAGGAAGATGATTTTTTTAATTTTTTTTGGTTTATTTTTAATGATTTTTTAAGGATATATTTTAGTTATTTTTTACATGGTTCTAATCAAGATGCATTAAAAAACGTAAAAGTAATTGATTAAAAATATTAATAAAAATCATTAAAAATAAAGAAAAAATTTAGTAGTTTGTGAAATTTTGTATTTTTATTTTTTGAATTTATCTAATTTTTATCTATTTAACATATAAAAAGAAATTTTCAATAATGGCCAATAAAAATCTGTCTAAAAATAAATTTTATATCTTAAACCAAACAAATTTTTTATTTGTAATTTATGTTTTTTGTTTAATAAGAGACAATTTCAAAATATTATTGAATTCATACAAATATTTATTTAATTATATAAAACCTTAATAATATAAATATTTTTGGCAAGGGTAAATGACAAATATATCTCTTAAAATATACTTAAAATGCGAATTGTTTCATGTGATTCTAGAAATTATATCTCACTTCTTCAAGCTTTTAATTTCATAACAAATTATTTATTTTATAAATAAATTATCAAGTCAATTAACAAATATTAATGATGTTAAAATTATATTTTAATTAATAATTTAAGTAATTTTATTATTATATAAAAAATAGATAAAAATTCTATTTTTTAAATTAATTATTTTAAATAAAAAGTTCTTACAATAAGAATAAGGTGAATTACAGTAATGGTCTATGTAGTTTGAGACTTGTGTTATTTTGAACCCTAAACTTTTAATTGTAATACATTTGATCATGAATTTTGAATCTTATTTTAAATAAGGACAATTGAAAATATTGTTATTCAATTTCAAAAGCAAGGTTGTTAATTTGATAAAATATAAATTAGTTTGATAAAAATAAATATCAAAAAATTATTTTTGAATTTTTAAAAATTATTTAAACCCACCAAAATTATATAAAAATGATATTTTTTTTACTTTTTTTTATTACTAATTTAATTTTTAATATGTGTTTGGATGATGATCATGTAATGAGTGACTATTTTTGTTGATATTTTTTTATGATTATCATTAAATAGATGGTTGTATTTGTGTTAACAGATATTTTTTTTTTTTGTGGTTATCATATTGGATGATTATTATACTTTTAATGTGTAATCGATATATTTAATTTATGAAATATTTTTAGTTTTAGATTTTTTAATTTAATAGATTGGTTTAATAATAACGTCAAAGTTGTCACCATGCTTGACTTTTGAAAAAATAGAAACTAATTTAACGAAAATAAATATAAAAAAATTATTTAAAAAAAAATCTACCCTTTTATTTTCTTCACCAATTTAATTTTTCGTTACTTAATTTTTTTTTTAGAAAATAGATTTTGAAAACAAAATCAAATAAAACTTTATAATTAAGAAAGTTTCAACATTATTCATTGAAAAAAGGCCGCAATATTTTCAAACAACATACAAATTAATCAACATAAAATAAGTTATATAACGACTTTACCCTTGAAATGGACCATTTGCAAAGGAAACATTTTTAATTGTCTTTGTTTGAAACAAGATTTAAAATTCATGATCAAATGTATCATAATTGAAAAATCAGGGACCAAAATAACACAAGTCTCAAATTACATGGATTGTTAATGTAATTTGCCCATAAGAATATTAGGCATTCCATATTTTTGGTATACCTTAAGGCCAGTTTGTTTTGCAGTTTAAGTGGTTAGATTAGATTACCATTTGCTGTGGGTCTACTCATAACATGTTTGGTAGTAAAATGGAAGGGCGGATTAATAGTCCAATGAGCTTAATAATCCCCTTCAGTAGGGGATTAACTTGGTTGAGTTTTGGGTGAGGGTTAGGAAAATAGTGAAGGAATTAAGTCTATTTTATATAAAAAAAAAATTTAAATTTTTTTTTTTATCAAGTGCACTTGTTAGTTTTAATATTTAGTTTAATTTTTTTTAAATAAATAATTTATTTATTTATTCTATAAAAATAATTTAACAATTTCATCATTAATTATCTTTATACTATCATTAAAATAAATACACTTTTACTTAATCCATTTACTAATAATTTTCGCATTAATAATATTTTCCCTAATCATCTTTTTAATTTAGGCCAAGTTTGGCAACCCAAGAATAATCCATCTTTTTATCTTTTTATATTTTTTCCATCACATCACCTCTCTACTTTTCTGCACATCTTTTCGTAAAAAGACAAAAAATACACTTATTTAGGTCATCCCAAACAACCCCTTAATCCGTCAAACACTGTATATGCTAAAACCAAAAAAATAAAAAACATAAAAAAAAACCGACCCCAGAAACCCTAGCGTATATATTTTCCGCCACTCAACCCCTATATATGGCATCCGATCCCCCAAATCCTAGGGTTTTATTCCTCCTACTGCGCCGAGAGAGTCTGAGAGAGAGAGAGAGAGAGAGCTCGGGAAAATGGTGAAGTTCTTGAAACCAAACAAGGCGGTGATCGTCCTCCAAGGTCGGCACGCCGGAAGCAAGGCCGTCATCGCCAAAAACTTCGACGATGGCACTCGCGATCGCCCTTACGGCCACTGCCTCGTCGTCGGCATGGCCAAGTACCCCAAGAAGGTGATCCGCAAGGACTCCGCCAAGAAGACCGCTAAGAAGTCTCGCGTCAAGGCTTTCATCAAGCTCGTCAATTACAATCACATAATGCCTACTCGCTACACTCTCGATGTCGATCTCAAGGATGTGGCCACTCTTGACTCCCTTCAATCGCGCGACAAGAAGGTCACAGCCTTGAAGGAGGCCAAGGCTCGCTTGGAGGAGCGATTCAAGACTGGCAAGAACCGGTGGTTCTTCTCCAAGCTCCGCTTCTGATCAATCTTGATATTGGGTTTCGTTTCTTTTTTTCAATCTTTAGTATTAGTAATGTTCTCATGTCTTGTTATGTCTTGTTTGGATTTTAGTGATTTCTCATGATAAACTGTTGTTGACTTTGATGTTTTGAAGTTTTGTTATGATTTAAAGGTTTTCTTAGATCTGTTCTTGTTATGATGTTGAAATAGAAGAAAGTGTGGTTTTATATTTGGGTTTTCTATTAAGCCAGCCAAGAGAGCAATGTTTACTTTCAGTATATTTTCATAGGTTGGAGAGGGATGCTGCTAATAGGCCTCATTTTTCAATGGAACCCCCACCTCTTTATAAATTTTTTATTACAACCATCTTCAGTTTCCACTCCCTATTCCCTCCCATCCCCATTGCACCTCTACTCGCCACAGCCCAAACTTTCCCCACCCCTTCCTTGTACCCTTCCCATCCCTTCCCATCCCTTCGCAGCTCTCCTATAGCGCTCACTTGTGCTCCTCTGCAGCTCTGCAACTCTCCCCCTCTCCTTCGCAGCGCTCTCACAACCCTAGTCTGCCACTGTGATCAAGAGATATCACGGGGTGGGTGGGGTTGGGTCTGGTAGGGTGGCGGAGGAGGAAGGGAAGAGCAGAGGAGCAGAGGAGCAGAGGGGCTGGTGAAAGGCTTGGGTGGGGCTGAGTATAGGTGGATGAGGGGGTGGGGGTTTTAAAGGATCGGTAGAATAGGGATTGTGGTGGGTGCTAAATAAAAATAAAATGGTGGGCATCAATTTTGTGTGTGTGGGGTTCCATAGAAAAAATGTGAGTGGATATGAATTTATTATGTGAGGGCTATTGTCACTACATACAACATAATCTTTTATTTTCCTCACATTGATAAGATGACTTGTACAAGAAACTGTGGTAGTGCAAGGGTGCTGCAATGATTTTATGACCTTTTTTGTGTGTGTTGCAATTCATTGGTAGCAGTGTATAAGGTGGTCTTTTCTACTGACCTTTTACTTGATTCAGAAGGTATAGAATTTCTTATTTCATTTCAGTTGGTTTTGGCTAACCTGTGTGATTTTATTAGATCATGTGCTCTAAGCAATCTCAAATATGTCATTGTTTTTCTGTCTCTTTTCATTGTATTAGTATTATTGAACTCTGTTTGTCTCCTGACTCAAATTTATGGAGATTGTGACCCTCTCAAAAAAAGTGTTATTGAGTGAGAATTTAATCATCATATTCAGATCACAAAAATTGTGTGTAAGTTTGCTAGAAGGAATTCTTTTGATGTCTAACTTTTGATCAATTAGTTCTATGGTATAAAATCTGAAAATTTTCCATGTATATATTTTTTTATTTTCTTCTTGGGACATAAAAGCTTGGTTTGATAGGGTTGTGGTACTCTTTTCTTTTGGCTGTAATTGGCTGTAAGTAGAACAAAGTGGAGTACTTTGTATCAATCACACTTCTGAATTATTGACTTCAAAGTTTTGCTATGATTTAAAAGTTTTAATGTATATGTTCTTGTTCTCATATTGATTTTATTTTTACATGCCATACCTTCAGGTTATATTTGAAACTTCTTGTGTTCTCTAACTTGTAGTTCTAGTTGTGGTTTCTATATATTGTGGTGCATTTTGTTCAATTGGAAAATATGTGGTTGTGTGTTCTTTTTCTGAAAAAATACAGGTTGGGCCATTGGATAGTGACACTCGTTAGCATTTCTTGTTCTGGTAATAAGAAGTGATTGTATTTGTGTTTTCACTAAGCTAAAGGGGATATCTTCATAGGTGGAAGAAATGTAAAGGTACTGGCTATGGATGATTAGGAGCACTGATTGGCTTTTTGTATTATTGTGATACTTGTTAGCGTGTTTTATTGTGATGATGGGATGTGGTTGTGTTGGGGTTTCCATTAAGCCTAGACATTTACACTATAAATGTATGCGTTTAGGATGTTTTTGTACATTGTGTGCTGTTAATATCCCCCACATTTTTTAGTGGATCGCAGCTCTTTAGAATTTTTTTTATTACAATTCTATCCTGTCATGAGACTCCCCTTCTTATCCTCATCTCTAACATCTAAACCACCCTAACCCTAATTTTTACATACCCCAGCCACCACCCTTCGCCACCATTTTTGGTCTCCCCCCCCACCACTTCTCTGCATCTGACCTCTACCCACTACAGCCTAACCCTACCACAGCCCTCCCCTTCTCCCCTTGTATTCCCTCCCATGCATTGCAGCCCTCCCTTGGCCGTCCTTTGTGTTCCCCTGCAGCCCAGCAACCCTCCCCTTCCCCTTCGTAGTGCTCTTGCAACCCTAGTCCACCGGTGGGTGGGTTGGGGCTGTGAGGGTATGGTCTGAGCTGGGAAAGGCTGGGGTGGGGATAGGGATAGGAATCATCGGTAGGGGAAGGGGGCTGGAAGTGGAAAGGGTGACGGTCCAAAGAGAGGGCTGAGTTGGGAATGGTGGGTGCTCAAAGCAAAAAAAGGGTGGGTATCAATTTTGTGTATGGGGGTCCAAAGATAAAAGGTGAGGGCTATATTAGCAGCACCTGTGGAAGCGGTGTTGAGAGGGTATGAATTTACTTAGTTTTAGTTGACAGGTACAGGCTGTGCCTGGAACATCTAAAGGAAGACCATTAATGAAATAATTTGTTTTGAATTCTTGATTAAGGGGTGTGGATTGCCACCAAATAATACAACATATACCTTTTTTCTTCACATTCACTGTCGTGATAAGATGACTTGTATAAGAAACCATATTAGTGCAAGGTTGCTGCATTGATTTAGGTTTTTTTTTGGTTGATGTTGCAATTTATTGGTAGCAGTGGATATAAAGAGGTCTTTTCTATTTATCTTTCACTTGATTTAACAGGCATAGAAGTTCTTATTTAATTTCAGTTGGTTTTTAGTTAACCTGTGTGATGGTATTAGATCACATGCTCCTAGCAATCTCAAAGATGTCATTTTTTTCTTTTTATTTTTTTCCACACTGTTTCATTGTATTAGTCTTATTCAAATTTGTCTCCGTACTCAAAATTATGGGGTTGTGACCTTCTCAAAAAGAGTTATTGAGTGAACATTTAATCATCAAATTTAGATTACAAAAACTGTATACATTTGCTTGTGGGGCTTCTTTTGACATCAGTGATTTTTTGATTAATTACTTCAATGGCATAATTTTGAAAAATTTCTAGGTATGTTGTTTTTACTTTCTTCTTGGCACTCTTCTTTTTAGCCTTAACTGAAAGCTTGATGGATTTCTCTAGAGTAATCAAAAATGAATTTTGCACTGTCTTGGTTACTTATAGTTTTTCCTTAAAATACAAATGCATTTTTGTTTTTCCGTATCTTCCACAAAGCCATAACAAAAATAGTATATCAAGAGAGATGGTCATTAAAATGAATTTTACTTTTAGCATTCCCCTTGAGCCAATCCATTCAAGGCCTTCTCATCATATCCATGTACCATTGTTTATCAAACACAATGAGCCACACTTCTTTTGCCATGTAGCAATCTCTAAATAAATGATTAATATCCTCAACCCCATTGCATCTAGGACATTGAGGATCATTTGTCAAGTCTCTCTTCAATCTCATTTGATTGGTGAACAGTTTTCCATGAAGCACAGTCTACAAGAAACCTTTAAGTTTTTGTGGTAATCTCAGTTTCCACACCCAAGACTAGTCCTCCTTGTCCTCATTTCCCAATCGCAGCTCATACGTAGAGGAAATAGTAAAATAGCGGAAACAGTAAAATCTCCACCAGGAGACCCCTTTCATATAGGAGTGTCCATCCCAGTGTCGCCAGGGGTGGTGCCCCAAAATAAGAGCTGCCTGGGGGTGGGAAAAGTTACCTTTCACAAGGTTTACATCCCATTTCCTATCTTCCCCCAGCAACTCTCTCATGTTGATAATGTAAGTAGTATCAGTATGGTTTAGAATAGTTAGTACTGGAGATAGTTTCCTCAAAAGGAATTGTTTCCACACTACCCATCTTTCCAAACATTCACATATTTGCCATCACTAATGTTCCACTTTACACCTTTCTTTAAGATTGGTCTGGTGCTCATGATGCCTCTCAAAATATGAGAAACATCCCTGTCTTTCTTCAAATCAAAGAATGAAGTTTTGTTTAAATATTTCGTCCTCAAAACCTCACACCATAGACTGTCTCTGTGGCTAATTAGATTCCAGCCCAACTTTGAGATCAAAGCTAGGTTTTGATCCCTAGCTTTCTTAATCCCCAGGCCACCATTCTTTTTCATTTTACACATCCCATTTGACAAGATGAATTTTCTTCTTTTCCGTAGTATCAGCCCAGGGAAAGCTTCTATTCATACTATCAATCTCATTGCATTACAAACCTTAAATGGCAAAAACATAGTCTGCATAGGATAAGAAGGGATAGCATAGGCCACAGATTTGATGAGAGTAGCTCTACCAACCATGGATAGAGTATTAGCTTTCCACCCAACCAACTTTTTTTGCATATTCTCTAAAATGTGAGTGAAATTACCCCTGGTAACTTTGCCATGGATAATAGGAACACCCAAATATCTCCCTAAATCAGAGGTAAGTGGGATGCCACACTTGATACTAAACTCTTTAGCGCTCCTCCTATCAATGTTAGGCGACGCAAAGAGCTTGGATTTATGGGAGTTAATTTTCAAATAAGAAATCTCACAAAACTCATCCATAACCTTCATGATTGTGCTACAATTGGATGTAGTAGCTTGGCCAAAAAGCATTAAGTCACCAACAAAGAAAAGATGAGTAAGTTTAGGCCCCCCTTTGGAAGTCTCCACACCTTTCCAAACTTTACTGTCAGCTTTAAAAGTGATCATATTAGACAGCCTCTTTAAACACAGCACAAAGAGGAATGGGGACAAAGGGTCCCCTTGTCTCAACCCTCTAGAAGGTGTGAATTCCTCCAGAGGCTCTCCATCCCATATAACAACAGTGCTAACAGTGGTCACACGGCACATGATAAGCTCAATAAGATTATGATCAAAATTAAACTCCTCCAAGGTTTGTTTTAAAAAGTCTCAAGAAATATTGTCATAGGCTTTTTCCAAATCAATTTTAAAAATCATACCTCCCTTCGCATCTTTCTTTTTGTTCAGAGAATGAATAATTTCTTGAGTAATGATTATGTTGTCACTAGTATTTCTACAGGAATGAAACTGCTTTGGTTAGGTCTAACAATCTTACTCAATAGGGGCCT